TAGTTCCTAGGGGTTTGATTGTCCTGCGTCGTGGGAGGCGAGTTGAGATTTTCAGTCTATGACGTCATAAATAGACTGGATATTAAACAACGGACCTATATAAAGAGCATCGCTTGACTTTCCATGTCATAATTGTTTTCTCACCGCGCTCTTGTGATCTTCTCGCTTTTGATCGTGTCTACGTGACTTTTGAGAGGACACACAAACGGGCATACAAACAGTTAGCGCTTTATATATAGAGAGGATATGTGCGCATAAATTGATCAAGCATTGTTCCCCAGTACTTTTTAAAAATGTCAGTTGACTTGTACCAGCCCCTCGAAAGTGCGTACAGTGTTCCTCGAATGTGAGGACCGTATCCCTTCCTTAAAGGGCACTGGTCAGATGGGTCATTCGACCGCCCTCTACCGTAAGTGTCAAGGTAGATACGTGACCAAGTAGGTACGCCTCTCTACCAGAGATACTCAAGATAGTGTTTCGAAATTCTCGGCAGAGAGCTGGGGAGTAACTGGTTTCGTAACTTCGTTCCCTGAATCGTTTAGCACATTTGGAACACGGATTTGAAACCAGGCCTGAAATCACATCCGGCGGTACACACCCGATCATGAATGGTCAGTGCGACCAGGTATCCTTCCCTTGTCAGACTGACGTAATTTCCAACTCTCATTGGGATCGATTCGCGCTCAGATATAGTGGATGAAGAACGGAGCCGGGCCCTACTTTTTCTTGAAGCAATGCCAGCCAACGTAATGCGACTGGACGACCACTGCAAATTATTATGTGTTAAGCTTGGCCATTGAAGCAGAGTATGTCCCCTATCTTTTGCCGTAGTCTTCGTTCAACCAACCGTATTTTTACCGGAAACGCCATTTATTATGAAGGCAAAAACAAATTATCAATAGGGGCCATAGAATCAACCACTGCAAAATTGTTACGGAAAAAAAGCGCTCACCTGACAGTAACAGTTTGCAACCAGGGGACTGATCACATGAAAAGAATGGTGGTGGAAACATCGGCATCATCTGTTCACGAGGAATCGCACGTTTTGAATCCACCTGAGAAGCTGAACTGAAACCCATGCACATCCAATGACCTGTTTAGAGAAGAATTTCATTTTTGTAACTTTTGGTAGAGTTGGAAAACTGATCTTCGTGCTTAAACTATAATATTATATTGGCAACCTTCAGGAAAACGCCGTTCTTCAGAAAACTAACCTAAAATACTGAACACAAGAGTACAATAGTATCGATTATGCTTACGAATTATACATCTGTTGCCTTTGATCCTAACACTAACCATCCATTAGGAATCTAATCTATACCTTTTCGTTTCTCATATATATAAACCATTGGTCAAAAAGTTCAGCTTGTTGATGGTTGAACAGGTTTTGTGGCAACTAATCTCGAAATGAAGAAAATATCTACATAGTCCCCAATTTATCTAAATTTAAAGACGCAACCCGTAATGGATATTCGTCATTATCTAATAGCGAGGAATGAAGGAAGTTTGATCCTCTTATACAGTACCAACTTCAATAGGCGCTTATCATTGCACTTATCTCTCAATTTTTTGCTGCTTACTGAATGATCTTGTCTTATCCTATGAACATATAAAATGTTAGGGCTACATTGTATATATCAATGTGGTGAAGAACCGGAAAACCTCCTTAGAGCCATCATAAGCCCTTATGGACTGTTATTTCTTTCAACTTTCTGTGTTTCATATTTGCGATCCATTCACGTAGCATACATTGGAACGACAATGCTTCGCTGCCTAACGAATGAAAATAAGTGATCCAGGGGCGACTATCAGCTTTTATCAGTTGTTATTAATCCTTACGACAAACCACCTCACTAATCCCAACTCACTTTAAAAAATGTCAATTTTTCACTAAAAATACGCAGGGGCCAACTGACATTAACAGTCCATATAGTTGACATTTCCTGCCACCAAGTACCTACGATTCCATCACCCATTTCCTACAACTCCACGTCAGCCAGCGAATTACCGAGGTTCCACTGATGAGACGAAGGACGAGATGGGCATGACTCTCATCTTCTGTGGTCATTCACTGGCACTTGGCACTTATTATCGGCCCCTGCCATCAACCATCCTAGATCTCGACCCATCTCACATCACACGGCAAAAAGTCAAGGTAAAACACACATACACAGAAGCCGACATCGACACACCCGCGCCATGAGGCTCATCGTCACTTTCATCCCCTCCTTGTTGTTGACCCGCGTTTCCTGATTTCTTATTTCAAACCAGTTGGAGGTCGCGCACTAGCGCGAGAACAATGAAGAACGTACGAACGAAGTAGGTTTTCGACCTGAGCTCCACTCTTGAAATAGCTGGCGGCTATAATTGTATACAAAAAGCTCGAGGACCCTTAGTCTCTTTCGGCTGATTTGTTGATCTATTTCTAAATTTTATCTTCTTTTAATTTTCTCGGTGTGTGGACCTTTTTGAGCAGAATTATAAACATGCTCAAGGCTCCGCACCACAAACCTGAGCGACCTCTTCAGGTAATACCGAATTTCGGGCGATAGAAAAATGACAAAATTGAATCCTTTGCATGTAGCAAAAGATGATGATTTCATTAGTAGTAAGTAATGATGATGAACTGGACTAAATTGTGAAATTTCAATCTGAGCTCCTTCACCTCAGTGCAGGCCCCGTTCACTTTTGGGTTTTGGCCACCCTTCTCTCAGCTGCCCCTAACACTTTTTCTTTGAACAGAAGATTTTTTGAACAGAATTATGAATTTTTGATCATAATCCCGCCCTCACCATTGCAAACTCCGCGCGCTCCGAGGATTTGAGTACATCTCTTCTAAAACATTCAACTACTGATTTCCCACCTCCTAGAAAGCCTAGGAAGTCATTAAATAAAGCATGAACCTCTGGTCTAAAATTCTCCCACTTTGCGCAAATCCCGCCTACTCCGAGGATTTTGTCACATTTACTCATTACTTATGACCACTTTTTCCCGCGCTCTAGAATGTTTCTGAATGAAGTTATAAAAATTTAATCTCGGCCCCTCCCACCTCAGTGCGACCCCCTTCCCCCTCTTTAAAAGTTTGACAACATTTCTTCCACTACCTCTACCCACTTGTATTCGGTATTCTAGCACTTTTCTGAACTGAGTTGAGGACTTTTAATCTTAGCCCCGCCCACCTCGACGCGGGCCCCACCCACCTCTGGAATTTGACCTAGTCTCTTCTATTACCTCTAGACACTTTCCCATGTTCTAGCACGTTTCTGCACGGCATTACATTTATTTCTAAAAAGTACGTTCCATTTCAAAGCACGCCTGTCCATGGTGGGCGAAGCTTCACTGAGTTCATGCAAGCTCGGGCTCCGCTAGACGCACATGTGCTCTGTTGCGGTTACCCGATGCTCAACCCATTCCGAACTTGACGCGACCTCTTCAGGTGTTTCTTTAGGTAATATCGAATTTGTGAGAGATAGATAGACGCGAGTGTTTCTTATATAAGTAGTAAGGTTGTTTCCCTTATCCCCCTTCATTTCTGCCGAATCTACCACATTTCTATGGTTGCTATTGCAAATCCAGAAGTGAGCTGTCTCGAGAATGAATTGCCCTGCAGTTCTACGAACTCCGCAAGGGTATTCGATGCTCATCCCTTCCCTTTGCAGTGGTCTTGATGTCTCGCCAACGTGAAATTCATTACAGGTAAGACACACTGTTTGTACCTCACACACTTTTCCAGACACATCTCATGCTTTCCTCAGATTATACAATTTACTCTTTTATACAAACATGCGTCTTAAAGTGGAGAGCGGATGAAAGATAAGGCTTTATAAGAAGTGCTCTCTTTACGACGCGGTTTGCATCCTTCGCAGACGAATCAGCAATGAAAGGCAGTATCACCGAGGTTCCACAAGATGATCCTAAAGTCTCCAGTTCGAGGATGTTTTGTTCTACATTCGTTTTGCTGCAGAATTTCATTGAATTCCGCCTCTATTCCAGATTTGAGGAGGCCTGCTTCCACGATGTGGAAATAAACGACGAGCCACATTCAGCTTCATGTGGAAAGAGAAGGAACTTCTCGCATGGATGAGAATATCTTGGATGCCGGTTTCCACAAAGTGCTGATCAGAGTCCACAACTTTGACCGTGGTGTTCAGGAATGAAGCACCACCATAGGAAGGGTGACCAGCTGTTAATCTTCCCATGATGGCGTTTCATTCCTGGATACCATGATCGACTGGCACAGGTTGTTCAAGTTCAAAAATGTCTGTCGCAGTGCTCTTGACACTTCCCTACAATGGAAATATTGTCAATCTACCGTCCAAAATATAACACATCAAATGATAAGGTCAGTCGTTTAGGTCGTCCATGAAACGATGGCAAGAAATGGAGCCAATCTGCTTCAGCAGTTTGTTTGCAATTCCTCATCCAAAGGCCGCTGTAGAAGTGAATGGATCCAACATGTGGCTTTCCGGAGCCCGCAGAACACCGCAAAAATCATTTTTCGAGACACCGCACACTTCGGCATTCATAGGAACATCCTTCCGAACTTCACGTATTCCTCTGCACAGAAATTTGGCAAACTCGGAAAAAAGGAAGATGAGGGAAGCGTTGAAGATAAAAAGTTAGCAAACACCAATCAATAAAAAGGAGACAAAGATTTTCATTAGTCTAAATCAGTATAAAATGTACAATGGAGAATAACATCATGACTGAGCTTCGATTCGTCTTTATTACTGCGTGCATTTCACTTGGCATGAACATAAATCCTTGCCAATGTTTTCGCAAAACGTAATGCGTATTCTTCTCTCACCTCTCCGTCATATATGTCCGGTAGGTTACTGCTATACTCACTAGTAGTGTTGTGGGTTTGTTCGTATTGTACCCTTGTATTTGTTAAATATTCAACTAAGCCGAAGAAGTTACAAGTAGCGTTTAACAAAAAGAAAAGCGCCTCATCTCTGCCTAAACAACAAGACTGAAATTAATGAAGCTCACGAAACCACCTATATTACTATATAATTTCGATCAAACAGCTTACAACCAATGAAGAAAAGGTTTACTAGGAATACCGTCTTTCCAGCAATAACATGTGGTCGATTTATCATAGCTGCTTCGAGGCTGGCTATGGTGGCAAAAGTGACAAAACCGAAACCACGCGATTGTTTCGTGGTAGGGTCCCGAATGACGATGGCGTCCACCACAGGTCCCCACTGCGTAAAATAGGCACGCAACTGGAATCATTACACTGACTTTACAACAACGACGTATGCAACAGAATTGCTGAAATGAAATAGGAACTCCACCTACCGCATCATCATTCGCCTCATGGCTAAGGCCTCCGATGAACATCTTCCTCATCTGCGGAGGCCCTTCTCCATGGCAAGCCGATGACGCATGCTTGAAAACGCAACCTTTATCAATGTTTGCTTAAGGAGCACTTTATGAGACAGGAAACTTTTGAAGTTATAGATATATGTGAAGTGCACGTGGCGCACTACATCACTACATACTTGTTATTTCTGAGGTGACTTCAGTTTCATACAAAAGTCGGGATTTGATACGACACTATGGCAAAGATTCCAGCTGGAACCGATGCTTTCATTGAGGGATTAGTGCAAGAAGTTTAGAAAACAAAGCAGGACCGTGACATTAATAAGTGGAACTCATTCCTCTGTGAGCTACTCACTGTTCACGTGAGAAATGTCAGGGATTTGAGAAGTGTAAAGGTTGTGAGCATAGTTCTAGGATGCTTTCATGATGACTCATCTCATTCTTCCAGGGTGTGGATGGAGAACAACGCAGTGTTGGCCGTCAGCACCCGATTTCGTTTTTCACCATGGGGCGATGTCTTTATCACCATGGGGCGATGCCTTGAACCACCCAGAACATGTGATACCTCTGGATGGTGTGAAAGAGGTGTTTGGACAAGATGTCCGCAATGTGTGCCATATCGTACAGTCGATTTTGCTTTGAATGCTGCAGAAATTTACCCTTCGCTACTATGCTGCTCTAATGAGGGATTCTACGCATTCGGGAGCTCGATAATTTCCTTGTTAATTTTTCATATGTTTCTAATGTGCTTGCATGCAACCCAATTAGAAACACATGAAAAATACTTCCCTCCCCTCTTTGGAACGCCAGTATAATGAGTTTAATTTAATAATCTTATTTTACTCTTTTTCTTATGAACACTTTTAATAGGGCTGTCGTAGTTATTTCTTTGTGAGAGTTCCATGACCTCTATCTGTTTTGCACAATCCTAAGACCTTACACTTCGATATAGCACGTGTATTAGAGCAAATAGTGGTGTGATGAGTTACATTTGAATAATTACTCCATTAATTCATTCTTCTTTATTTAGTTTTTATTGTGTGATCGTTAACACGTTCACGGTCTTATTTTTTGTTATAGAGCATTATCTGGATGCATTTCAAAGAAGTATGTCCCTTCGAGCTCCATTTCAGTGTGTGCACCTCCTCGTCTCATAGTAATCTGTTGTGGTGAGTTTCATCTGATTAATTGTTGTATTAAAACTTCCTAATTCACCTACTTTTACTAAGTTCCCGTTAAGATGTTGTCAAGGAACCTAACTTGAGCAGCCTTGATTCTCTACACCTTAATTTTGCATGTGCATCTCGCTTATTCTCATATGTTTTTGAGAGCAACTCATTGAAAATTCTAAGGTAACAACTAACAACAATATTACAACAATAACAATTGATGAGAATGAAAACAAAAAACAACTCGAGGGCAAGAAAACAATGAATGAGCATAAAGATCACACCAAAATTTCATCAAGATGAACGAGATGCACATGCAATATCAATGTATCAAGAACTGAAATAGCTATAAAGTGATCCAGGGAATGTCTATAACAACAAATAAGATTGCGTCAGCGATTACATATTAAAGATAAAGTAAAGAAGAAAGAAGTAGTAGAGTAAATACTCGAATGAAGTTTACCACACCTGTGTTCCAATGTTCTAGGTTCGATAGCGAGATACGAATAAAATATGAACGTGCAAAGAATTCAAATATCTAAAGTAGCGTTTTAACACTATGCAACATTGTATCAACGTAGCCATTTCAATAAGTAAATAGGAAGGGGGATACAGTACTTTTAATCACTCAAAACTCAGTAATGACTAGGATGATATCGGAGGTTTTGTAGGGTATTGAGATGTTTGACCGGGTAACTTCATAAATTTGATTCTATTCTTTCAGGCTCCGATTAGGGCAGTTTTGCCGAATCTTAAGCCATTCTGGCGTTCTGAACCTCGTGGGAAGTTATTTCAGCAATAGTGACGAAGTCTATCGAGAGCCGCACGTGGAGATAACTAAGAAGGAATCCATAAAGATAATTTCCAAACGACCACCACACCAATATTTCCTTGAAATTCACGTGCTAAAAAGAACTGTAAAAAATATAGTATGGTTCGAAATGAAAAAAATGATTTTATCATAAAACAACAATATATCCAAGACTTGTTCAGAATAAATAAAAGAGATGTTTGCAACAATAAACAATAATACATCTACTACATTGCTGAGAAGGATCATAAGAAAGAGTAACATGTGAAAATTTAAACTAAACTTACCACAACGGCAAGGGTGTGCATGCAAATGTAGCGTTCCAACTGAACATAGCTTTTCAAATAAGAGTTGGAAAGAGTTCTTGAGTATGTAGGATATGTTAGAAAGAAATGATAAGAATAGGAACTCCTAATTATACACCATCGTGCATGGAATTCCAAGAAATAAAAAAGAAATGCATGCAATAGTTGCTTCAAGACTAATCAACATTCCTTAATACGATTCTATAGATGTTCTTGACATCTATTATCAACAATCCAACAAAATTGGACGACCGCGTGAGAAAAAAAAAATAAAAAATAGGAAACCTTAAAGAATTAACACAAATCACGTGCAAAAAACATTGCATGGGTAAAGGAGCCGAACGAGACCTGATTTATTCGAACATTGAGAGAAATAATTTTAATTACGAAGCAGTAAAAAGTGCAACAGAATGGTGTAATATAATACTCACTAAGGGCAGCCCCATCAGCTGACTGACTTTTCAACAAGGTCGCTCTATTGGGAACAAGAATGCTTGGTCAATCGTTTCAAATTTCGGCTAGCGGTGGGTGTGGCATTCGGTCGGTTCGATTTTTGGTCCCTTAGTGTGCCCCCTACAGGGCGTTTTCCGATCTAACAACGGCCCATCTGGTATGAGGGGAACCGCAGATTCATCCTAAAGGGAAATCTCATCTCGTAAAACATTTTTCCGTGAACTGTGCTTTTGAAGAGAAACGACGTTTGAGTTATCCCGTGTTGACTGCAAATGAACTCCGCTGTAAATTCATTTCATTTGAAGATATAAGTAGGATGATAGTGATGTTTATTTTTATTCACTCGCGATTGATGCCATAAGACGGTAGTGAGCCCATGATAAAGGCTCGCCGCTCTGTGTGGGCGTCTGGCAGACACCATGCGTTATGTCTATTCACATTTGAGAATTCACTTCAGCATGAAATGGTATTGATGGGTCACATGTAAAGACTTCGCGTTATTTGTTTGACGCAGCTTTCAACTAGCCAGACGGAGTCTATGGTTCGATAAACTTCATTGATGCCGGGTTTTCCATATGATTAATTTTATACAGTCATTTCCAATCTCAGCACTTCCCTTTGCATTTTATGCTATTTTGACCGTAGCTTGTGTCACTTTGGGATAGCACACTCCGATAAGGTTTTTACATCTCTTCCGTTTTTACATTGGTCTTCACTCGCCAATCTGCGATGCCATACCAGGCAACTTATCAAACACCGTTCAAGGCCGACATCGACCTACGAGTTCGCCGCACTAAAAGCGACCGTTTGAGTTAATTGTGACGTTGTTGTCACTAACTGATCTTATCATTTTCGAATTCACTGCAGTTTAACTAGTCAGTTATTCATTTATTCAGCCCCTAAATGGCAGGCATCGCCTCAAGCGGGAATGAATACATAAGAGAGGCTTCCGTCATAACCGAATCCACTATGCTCGTCTTACTGTTACTTGCTCTCGCGTTCTTGTTTATCATGGTTCGCCAGAGACCCGCACTCAGTTCACCCCAGTGGACTCGTGAATAGACCTACCTTTATCCCAGATTTCGAGGCTGCCGTCTCTGATAGGCTAGCTCTCTCTTATTTAGATGTCCTGGGCAAGGACGAAAATTGAAGAGGACCAAGCCGACAATTTCAGACTTGCCTTAATTATGCTCGTAATGAAAATGATTTCTTCAAAGATCTTCCGACAAGGAAATTCCCTGCTGTGCCCAACTAATGTCAATCGTCTCATGTTACAAATGCGGTAGCAAAGAATAGTTTTCCCGCTTCCGTAATTCCCCACGGTAATCCTAGCAGGTTTTCTTTCCCAGCGTAGTTAGTTAGGTTTAATATCAGTCGTCGGTAAGCTTACAAGAGGCAATATGACCGTCCTCACGACGTTTCCCTCTCAGTCAAAGTGAGTGACTTGTTTTACTTACGTAACTCAGCACCTTCTATTCGCCAAATTCAAAGCTTTCTTCCCTTGGTACGGCGGTTTCGTGCTCTTGAAGATGTCTCTACTCACATAACTATCCTCATAACTATTTCATCAACTCAGTACATTCTTAAAAAGGTTCATATGAATCACGTCAAGCACTGTAGTCTTCCGACCAGCCCTGTTTTCACCGCCTCTGGTTTGCCGAAATGGGAGATTTGGTACTTTTAGAAGCCGAGGTCTCTGACCGGTTCAACGACGGTAATCAGCATACGGTGACCGAGAAGCTGCCGCCAACATCTTCTCCAAATGCTGCGGAGCTTAACCACTGCAACACTCGTTCTCGCTCTCTACGTACGTCGCTTTGGCCAGACGCTCCCGTATCAAGACATTTCCGCTAGTTTTTTGCTGATACTACCAGCTTCGCTCCAATACGATTATCATTGAAATCGATCGTTGCAGCGATAACATAGCCTTCAGTGTTTCTCACATAATCTCCTTCTATGCCACTTGTATTCTTTCCTAGCCTTTTCACATAGCATTGCGCGTTCTTATCGAAACGATTCCGTCATTTTCTTTCTTTTTCGTTCCTCGTGATTGTCTCGACCTTTTTCAGCTTGTCATCTAAGGAAAACCCTTCTAATTTCCAGGTTGGCTCGACATCTTTCTGCCTCCCGCGAACATGAACAACAAACCGCCAGGTCGTAGATCGCATCACGTATACAGACCTTAAGCTTAAGCCGTGATACGACCGAAGTGTTGAACTACTTTCGAAATAGCCCAGCCGAATACCGACTCAGTCTTTTCATTATCTTAATATCATGTTGGTTGTAGGAGCGATGGTGTCACAGGTACCATCGCTCCTACAACTTCCATCAGATTCCAGGACGGTTGGTTCGGTT